CAGTGAAATAAGCACTTCCCTGGCAAGCGCAAGGGCCTGAGTTCAATCCCCAGTTCTGCCACAAAAAGAAAAGAAAAAGGGTATGTACACCATTGAGTTATCTCCCTGGCCCTTGTACATACACTCATTCTCAAATATAACTGATCTTATCAAACAAAACACCCATTCATTTCCTACCACTAGGTACATTCACAATGTAATCACATTGTTGGCGCACGCAGGCGCGCACACACACACACACACACACACACACACACATACACGCGCTTTAATAAGTACAAAAAAGCTATGTATTCATAGGGCATCATCAGCATCATATGCCAATAAAGGGCCGGGGAGACAGCTCAGTAGAATAAGCATTTGCCTGGCAAGCACAGGGTCCTGAGTTCAATCCCTGGTACCGCAAAAAAAGAAAAAAAGAAAAAAAACCCAATAAAATTACATTTTGATACTACAGTATTGGGTCATCGAGAATAGCAGCTGTGAGCTGGGGATATAAAAAGACAGAACGTATTCAGAATACCAACTATTTGCCCCACGTGGCTGTGGAACTCCTGACCTGTGGCAAGTTTATTTAGGATGGACCATACTGTAGCGCCTGGCATGGTAGCATACTCATAATCACAGCATTCCAGGAGGCTGAGGCAGGAAGATCACAAATTCAACCCTGGCCTGGGAAACTTATCAAGTCTCAGTCTCAACAGGGCGACAGAGGGGAGCCACAGAGATAGCTCAGTGGTCCAAGTGCTGTCTAGGCAAACACAAGGACCCGGCTTTGATCCTGGGCACATGTTGTGCCAGCCCTGCCCCTGGATGTGCTGAGCCAGTCAACAAAACTGGGCATGATGGCACACGCCTGTAATCCCAGGGCTGGGAAGGCTGAAACAGGAGGATCACTAACAGTCCGATCTGTGTAGTGTGACCCTGTACCAAATACATAAAACTAAAACACAATACAACAAAACAAAACAAACGGGCAACACGGGGAGCAGGGCTTTAGGCCCTGACGAGGGAGGGAAGGGAGGATTTGAGGTGATGGGTGAGGGGGTTGTGGGTGGGGGCTGTTACCAGGCTGGCACCTCAGCTCCAGGCACTGAGAGAAATTCCCGCGGGTGATCCAGCGCTTCATGGCCTCCAGCTGCGCCACAGTGTCCTGCAGGAGGTGGGAGATGTTGGTCTGGACGAAGCGAAGGCAGCTGGGAAGGGGCTGCAGGCAGGGGCGAGAAGTCAAGACCGTGCACCGGCTTCAGCTTCTCCTCAGGCCCGGGGGCCTTTGCAGCCACGGAGAGCTCGGACCCTACTCTGGGGCTGCCACCCTTCCAGGCCGGCCCCAGACCCTTCACCCTCTCCTGGGGTGCATTGTCCTCCAGCAATCCGGTCCCTGGGAACTTCAGGGAGTGGATGTCTGGCTCTGCCACCCTTGGGAGCCCAAAGGACCCTGTGGGGAGGCCCAGGAGAGCTTCTCCACTGAAGCCAGGGACAGCGTCCCCGCGTGTACCTGAGCTCAAGACTGACCTGGAAGACACAGAAGGTGACAAAGTGTATCTCTGTGTTGACAGCCTCCAGGAGCTCTTGCATCCTTAAGCCGGCCACTGGCTTGAGCCGCTCCATCCAGCGCTGGGCCAGGACCAGGTGCCAGAGCTCCCGGCAGAACTGCTCCTGGGAGAGAGCCAGGCCTGGGTCAGCGGGGGAAACTGCCCCCTCCCCAGGCTGAGGGAGGAGGTAGCCAGACCCCTGCATTGGGCGGTGGTGACTGTCACCTGGTCCCACCATACTGTGGGGCGCAGCCTCTGCAGCCTGCTCCCCACCTCTGTCCCAGGCCCCTCTCGGCGTGACTCACGTCTTGCAGGTTGGCGGCCAGTGTGACTGGATAATCCCGGAGCAGGTAGTCAGACTGCAGGCGAAAGCAGGGTCAGGCCTGGCTCAGAACTGGGGTAACCAGAACTGTGGCGTCTCAGAAATGGAGGCAGAGAGTGAGAGAGGGGTGTTGGGTGGGGGGCCTGGGAGAGGTGACAGGCTCAGTGCTGAGCTGCACACCTCGGCCTCTGGGGCCGGCAGGAGGCAGGAGTGGGCTGGCCCGGGCTGCTCACCAGCTGGTTGAATTTGTCTCTGAAGTTGGAGGAGATGGGGTTGTGCGGGAAGGAGCAGCTGGGGGTCCCAAGCAGGCTGGGGCTCAGCAGCGGCGGCAGCAGCAGCAGCAGCAGCCCCAGAGGCGGCAGCAGCCGGGTGGACTGTGGGGGCCGGGCTGTCAGCGCCCGCTGCCCTGGGCGGCCCGCCCATTGCCCTCGGCCTCTGCTCTTTGCCCGCCGCCCGCCTGCGGGGGTCTTGACACTTCTGGTCCTGCCTGCTGTGCTCTCCCCCGCATCCCCGCTGTTCGCACTCAGCTTCTGTCCGCTTTCTCACCTCCGTGCACCTCGTCCGCCCGGTCCACCTCCCTCCCCGCGGTCCGCCTCCCGCCTCAGCCTCGCCCACCCCGCGTCCAGGTGTACGCACCGTTGGTCTCCAGGCTGGCGCCAGCGCTGTCATCGCGTCCCCGGGCCCTTCATGCCGGTGGCCGGGTCTCAGAGGGGACAGAAGAGCAGGTCTCGGACAGGCGCCCCGCGGCCCCCTCCCCTCCCGCCCCCCGGGCTCCCCGCCCTCGCCGCGCGCCCTTGATGTGGCTGGGTTTCCGCACCCCGCACCCCCCGGCTTCCTGCGTGAGCCCCAGTTACGGCGAAAGCTCATCGCCCCTTCCAAGAACCGGCGTCCGCCCCGGAGGCTCCCAGCCGGGACCCGGGGCCCCGGCCCCACCCCCGCACTCTGACCCGGGGCTGCGGCGGAGACCCCGGCGCCGCCCCTCGGGGACCCGGAGTCCCATTCTCCTCACGCACCAGGCTCCCCCGGCTTGTGTGGAAGGGCCAAGCTGGGGGACAGCCAGGGATCGAAAGTAAAAGGGAATTTTGGGGGGAGTCAGCGAGCAGGGGTGAAATGGGGTAGCGGCGGAGGCGCCCCCTCGCGGTGATCGCGGCCTGGGGGGGGTCTCGGCCTGGACGGTGCGCACCGGCGGCGCCGCCTTTGAGCTGTGTCCGAAACTTCAATCTCCAAATCTGGGTGGATTGTCGCCACCCCAGTGGCCCTGGTTCAGGTGCTGCCCCCAGCGATCTCCCCGGAGCACCGCCGCGGTCGCCTCCTCCCTGGGAGTCTGCCTCAGCCCTGACCCCACACACAGCTCATGTTCCTCCAGAGGCGCCCACCTCACGGGGCACAAAAGCCCGAATCCTCCTCCAGCTCCACGCGAAGCAGTGAAATGCGCCCCAGCGCCCTCTTCCCTCACCTCCTGGCCCTCTCCTAGCCAGCCCCGCCTCTAGGCCTCCTCGCAGGTGGGAGGCCAGCATATTCCAGCCGCAGGACCTCTGCACCTGCGGTTTGCACACCTTGTCCCCAAGTGCCCACAAAAGCGGCCCGGCCCACCCCCTCTAATGCAGGCCTGTGCAGAAACGAGAAAGCACAGCAGCAAAGAATTCCTGACACCTCGTGCAAGCTGCAGCCCCTCCCAGCACCCCGGCTCCCCGTGCTTGGTACTTATCGCGCCTGCTAACACACCGTGTGGTTTACTTATCTCCTTCATTGTTATTTGTCTCTATGGGGACCTCAGCTCCAAAAAGTCCTGGGCGGGTATGTGCTGTGACCTGCCAACTCTGGCTAGCAACTGCTTCACCATTTTTTTTTTTTTTTCCAGTACTGGTGATTGAATCTAGGGCCTTTACACGGAGGTATATCTCCAACCCTTT